CTGTCGAGCTGTCTTTCGGTCGAGTGCTCGAGGTCCGTCCCCAAACGGGCCCCACAGCTCTGCGGGTCCAGAATGACATGAACAGGGCGCCGCCGACGCAGCGTCCCCCTTGTCTTGCACACCTGGGTGGGTAGAGGTAGTAGTGAGGGATATACGTGTAGACTACCATGATGGTGTTGACCCGAGTCTTCTCCGTTTGCAATGAAGAAACAGCAAACGGCCCACGGCCGGCTGCCGACTGGGCGTGGTGGTCTCGACCATCGACAGCAAGAGTGGTGGATATCTGGTTCGGAGCACTTGACCGCGCGCAGTGCTGGCCGTCCGTCCGCGTGCGTCTGGCGGTGGATTCCTAGAAATTCTAAATAGCTGTTCTCGACCAGCAACGAGCCATGGTTTGCAAAGCATGTGAAAGGCGACGGCTTTGCGGCCGTAGCGCCACAGCTTCAAAAGGGTCACGAGCTGTGGCAGCAATTCTCATCTCACATGCTGCGGCGCCAGTCAGAGGCATGCCCTGGTTGCCGTCCGCCCGTTTGGCCGCCTGGAAACAGTGAGATCCATCACCACAAGCATCGATGCATGACGTTGGCGGGGCGTGTGACTGACGGCCTCCAGTACATTTCCTTTGACGTCTCTGGTCCGCTTTTTATCGCTCCCACTCAAGCCTCCACCCGGGCACGCCCGAGCTTAGCGGCGGCCAACGACCCCATATCTGCGCGAATCCGGGGTGCCGCCGCTTCTCCACAGAACAACCAAGACGCCGCCGAATCCATCGCGCCCTACAAAGCCTCCACCATCCCCCCTACCCGCTTCCGGCCCTGACCCGGCCCTAAGAAACAAAATCCTCAGCTGCTGCTCCAGGAGCTTCAAAACCCACCTCCTATCTCTTTTCCCCCTTTCGCTATTACTCATCCTACCTCTTGACCACCACCACCACTACCACCATGTCAGCCTCTCCGCCTTCTACAGCAGACCACGTCGAGCGGACACAGCCCGCACCGTCAAAGACCCAGCAGTTCCAGCAACAGCAGCAAAAGCGCAAAGCATCGCAAGCCGGCCTCGACAACCATGGCACCGGCCGTTCTGTCAAGAGGAGGGCGTCCAAGGCGTGTCAATGCTGCCGAGCGCGCAAAGTGCGGTGTAACGTCACCGAGCACGGGGCGCCGTGCACCAACTGCAGGCTGGACGAGGTCGAGTGCATTGTGTCAGAGTCGCGCAGAAAAAAGTATGTCTCCTTTCAGTTTGTTGTCGTGGAAGTCGGCACTTGGAACCTTTGAGACCGGCAAAAGTCATTGGCAGCCATGGGAAGGAAGCAAGGGTCCGCGGGGTGCTGCAGCTGACAGAGGCTTGCGTCCCACGTTGCATGCAGAACCAACCAAGGAACCTCTCCTTCGGACTTTGTTCCTCCATTGATCCGTCACGCTGACGTCGCAACAGAAAGTGGACCAAGGACGACGATGCCAACCCCGCAGCCGCTCCTGTAGACATCACAGCCGCCAATGTGGGGAAGCGCAAACTGGCCTCGCGCGACGCCCTCGACGGCTTGTCGACCCTGAATTGCCATCGCCAGTCACATGATGACGCTCTCAACCTCGACGAACACGTGCCACACTCCATTTGTCAGTTTCGACTTCGAGACACGATAATCGCGCAGATGTGGATACTGACGCAATGCAGATGCGACCCACGGACAGCGCCTCAACTACAGCTTCTCCGAGCTCGACCGCCGCATGTCGACGGCCTCGAGCTCGACCACGTACGGCCCCTTTGGCTACAGCACTTCGGGCATCGGGTCCAATGGCTCTCAGCAGCCCTTTTTTGCAAACATTGCACCCAAGCAACAAGGCCCCGCCGGCCTGCCCCTGTACATCAAGCCGCTGCCGCCCCGGATCGGGCCCGACGAAATTGCGTACCTGGAAAAGAAGGGCGCTCTGACTATTCCACATCCCGAGCTAAGGACGGAGCTGTTGCGTGCATACGTCGAGTTTGTGCACCCGTTTATGCCACTGCTCGACTTGCACGACTTTCTCATTGCGGCCGACGCGTCAGACGGCAGCAACGGCAAAATCAGCTTGATCCTGTTCCAGGCCGTCATGTTTGCGGGCAGCGCCTTTGCAGACATGTCGTTCCTGCGCAAGGCCGGCTACTCGAACAGGAAAGAAGCCAGAAAAGACTTTTTCCAAAAGACTAGGGTGAGTTGCGAGGGATGATTGTCACGCGGTTGCGGGATGACTGCCACCAGCACAGTTATTGACTGTACTCCACAGCTTCTGTATGACTTTGACTACGAACAAGATCGTGTCTCTCTTGTACAGGCCTTGCTCCTCCTGACGTACTACTACGAGACGCCTGATGACCAAAAGGACACTTGGCATTGGATGGGCGTGGCGACCTCGGTGGCCCACACTATTGGTCTCCACCGGAATCCGAACAAGGCCAACATGGACCCGAAGCGCGTCAGACTGTGGAAGCGCATCTGGTGGTCGACGTACATGCGTGACCGCCTCATTGCGCTGGGCATGCGACGCCCCACGCGAATAAAGGACGAGGATTACGACGTTCCAATGATGACGCTTGACGACTTTCACTTTGAACCCATTCCGGAGCACGTTACCTGCATACCCAGTACGTGCGTCGTTGCCCGTGACGTCTCCAAGCAACGCCAGCTTGCCCAGCTGTGCATTCAAAAGGCCAAGTTGTGCCTCTGCATCAGCCATGTCTTGTCCAAGCAGTACTGCGTGCTCAACAACAATCTTGGTCTGATGAATGATCGCACGACAATGATGCTACTTCCTAAGAAGCTCGACTCGCAAAAGTCTGACGTGCAGGCCTGCGACCAAGAGCTGCAGCGGTGGCTGGATGAACTTCCGGACGAGGCCAAGTACGAAGAGGAGCCTTCGGGAAATCGGTCCATTGATCTCCACATGGCATTGTTGCACATGGTGTTTTACACGACTCTGTCTGCCCTCCATCGGCCCCAAGTCCTCCCTTCTGCTCCCACGCCCATTAGCGGGGCTGATGATCCTGAGACCGTCGAAATGCTAGACAGCTCGCGTCGACACGTTCGTCGCGCCGCTGTTGCCATTACCTGCATTGCCCAAAAATTGGATTCGCTGGACCTTGTTAGATACTTGCCCACTACTGGTGTTACGGTTCTCTTGCCGGCCATCATCATTCACCTTCTCGATATTAAGGCCCAGGATGAGGAGACGCGTCGCTGCAGCCTTCGTGGATTCTGCCAATGCATGCTGGTCATGGGTAAGCTTCGGGATCTTTACGCCGCTGCCGACTACAGTACGGCCTTTTTAGAGGCAGCGATTCGGAAGGCCGGCATCACCATTGCCCCGGTTCCGCCTCCGCCGCAACCGTCGTCCCAGAATGCTCGATCAAAGGCGGAAGTGGCGGCTTCTGCTTCTGTTGACGACCTCGTTGCTGTCAGCCGTCAGCTCGATGGCACCGCCAACCCCAACTCGCTGAGCACGCCCTACAACACCATCACACCGCCTCCTGACAATTTTGCCGAACACATCCACCCCAGTTCGACCATTGGCAACGCAAGCGCCGACGGCACATCTGACGAAGAGGTCGCCCGCCGCCTCGAGACATTCTTGGCCTCGACGCCGCCTGCTTCGGACCACCACGCAAGCGACGCCTCGCAACCCGACGTCGACGCCGTCACGCTGGCCAACGGCACGGGCGAGTCTCCAGCCATGACCGTGTCAGGTATAGACATGAACCCGCTGACCAGCACGGCGAGCGACAGCCACTCAGCACCAACAACGTCCAACGACCCCTCCTCGTCTCTCTTCCCCTGGTCCAATATTTCGCTCGAATCCGCCGCCGCCGACGAAGGCTACTGTTTCTCCAACCTCTTCGACACGACGTCTTCGTCGACGAATCCCGTCACGACAGCGACGGCGGGTCCCGCGCATGGCGCCGCCATGGCCGAGGAGGGCGTCACGGCTGACTTCGATGCGCTCATGAACATGGACGCGATGGGCGATGTGTGCAATTCGTTTTCCTTCAATGATTTTGGCACCGGCGACGACGCGACCAAGGGTGAAGAGTCGATTGGCGGATTGGGGCTCAACTTTGGCGGGCTGGCCGAGGTTGATTGGCTTAAGGGGTAGATGGGACGTTCATGGGTGGGCCAAGTTTTTTTCTTGACCATGTTTTTGGAAATTGGAGTTGTGTGAGAGAGTTAGAGCGGTGGGTTGGCGGCGTTAGCATTTGTGGGCGGTTGATTGATGGCGCTTTGGAATAGAAGGGTCGATGCGAATCTCTCGGCCGAGCAACTTTGGGGTGTACAGAAGTTGTATGTGCATGCGCGATGTGTACACAATTGAAAACAAGCTGCAACTACGTGTAAAGAAGAATACAAGATACAAGTACATGCCAGAAGAGAAAGACACAATGTTCAAATCGACGGACTGTGAATGGACCTTGAATTCATGAGCAGCAATATGAATTCCATCCTTCCACTGACTCAATCTGGTCCCTCCTTTATTCAAGCTATATGATGCGCCGATTTCTAGTCAAACCTCCCACTTTTAAAATGGCTAATGGGGTGGATAGTCCCTAGCAAGACAACCGTGCGTCGACCGTCGCTCGACTGGAGTCCGTCCATCTGCAGCGTGAATACTGTTGACGATGTGGGATGAGTGGATGAAAAAAGAGAGAGAAAAAAAAAAAAAAAAAAAAAAAACAAAGGGTGAAAAACAAGACGAAGAATCGAGTAGTGTACCAAGCTCTTCCATCCGAAAAGGGAAGCGATCGCCTTCGACAATCACACCTGCTATGAGAAGTTCGTCCCACCCCCGCCACCCTTCTCCTTCTCACCTCTCTCCCTCTCTAGTTATAGCCTCATTAAAACCCCTCCTATCCCTCTCATCCACTTCCCCATTCCCCTCCCTCCTACGCGCGCCGAATCTGCCGCCTCTCCTTTCCTGATTGGCTAGATATAGTCAAGGATAGTCCTTTAAATTTCTGCATCACCAACATAAGCGTTGGTGGTTTAGTGGTAAAATTCATCGTTGCCATTCCCGGCCGTGCCTCCTGAGTCACAGCCTCCTGGAAAAACTTCGATGAGCCCCGGGTTCGATTCCCGGCCGACGCATCTTTTTGCGCTCTAGTGATTGCGTCAAACTTTTTGGGAGGGTTCGGGATGGTGTGGTGGTGTTTTGCGGGGTTCAGGGGTAAGGGGGATGGGAGGGGGGTGTGGGCGCGGGCCGATGTGGAGCCGGGAAGGGAGGAGTGAGGAGTGAGTGAGTAGGTGAGTGGGAGGCTAGGTTTTTAGAAGGGATGATGGGTGAAGTAGCGTCTTGTTTGTTTGTTTGTTTGTTATGGGGGAGGTTTGACGGTCGTCGGAAATTCCGTTCCTTTTTTACTTCGTGGACGCGCGATAGAGTTGGAGACTGCGAAGATGATTATCCGTCTGCACGATCTGAGAGAGTATGTGTAGCAAAACGCTAGATTTTTAGCGGAAGGACATGTAGGTACCTAGCTTATGTATGCTTCTGCCAGCTACACGTAGCCAGCTGTTCCCCCCCTTCGTATCGGCTCTCGCCACTCCAACTCTACCCCCCCGTTCTTCCTGCGAACCCCCCTGCCAAGTCACTCTCACTTGTCCAAAAAGTCAACCATATAGCACACCTCCCAGAGGCGGCCTAACGTGATTTGATTAATTATCTTTGTCGTGCCCATTTGCTCCATTTCGGCTCCGCTACGATGTGTGTGTTGTCTCTAGAGAAGGTGGTTGCCACACGCACCTTCCCGAGCGAACCGAACCGCGAACCGGGAGCATGCCGGCGCCGCGAATGGCCTTGTCAACGATGGTGGGCAGCCTCTCGGCGCAAGTGTTGGAAGTGATGGGGAAGTGAGCAGTATTTGAAATAATTTTGGAGAGCTGCTGCCTCGGGCGCATGCAGATGCTTACTGTAGCAGCGTCAAATGCCCAGATGTATAGATGCTACGGGTAGATGTGGAGCCGAGACGTGGAATCGACTGCGGGCAAATCCATTGCCCGCAGAGACATTTCGGCGCGCTCTCAGTCCGTTACTTACGTCGGCCAAGCGTGCCTCTTGCGACGGGCGTTGATGGACTGAACGGTAGAAGCCGACGTAGAGTGTACGTCAATGGCTTGTGCCTATGTGGCTGCCAATTCTCAAGGCTTGTTGCGAAAAAATTCGTCGGAGCTCGAATATCACCGACGACATGCTGCGAACTGGGAGAGCCCAGGTTCTCTTCGGGATGGAACCTATTCACCTGCATTGCCTGGCAGCCTGCCACGGCTCTTTGTCGCGTCAGCTCCAAGGATAGGCTCGAAAGTCTTGCGCAAGCGACACAGCGCAGCCGTTGGCCAGCTTATTTCAAAGACTTTGCGCCTGTTCGCTGTGAGCCGCACTCTGCAATATGGAAAACCTAGAAAGGCGACATGGGCCCAAAAATGCTTTCTGGTCACGCTGCCAACGTCCGGCCGCGCGCGTTGTCCGGGCCGATGCGGGCTGGGTGATGGGTGTGCGGATGCTATCTTGTCGGGCCTTTGGAACGCTTTGCAAGGTTTGACGGATCGCGTCTCCGGACGTATTCCTGCGGTTGGGCAGGATCGAATCGAAAGACAAGGGTTGTTGTTGAAGCCGTGATAAGGCTTTTTTGTTGTTGTTGTTGTTGAGAGGAGAGCGGATACAAGTAACTCCAGACTTCGGTTGTCCCGGTTGGGAAATGGCGTCACCAGAAAGTCGACATCCCAGCCCAAAAGGGTCTTGTCTTTGTTGTCTGATCGACCCGGATGGACGAAATTGGAGGCATGGTTCCATTCAGCTACAACAACTGCTTGCGCACGGCCCACCTGCTCAAGATTGTACCTGGCAGCTCTGACAGCATCCATCGCCCAGCCACATGCACGACGTCGAGCGGCGCGGGGTTGGTCTCAACATTGACCTTGTTCGCTGTTTCAAGAGAGAGCCTGTACCGTCCTTTTGCGCCTTGCCCAATGGGAAAATCTTCCGTGAAAGCTAATATACCGCAGACAGACGTCAACCCTCAACCCTAAACCTCTACATACTCAAGTCCGCCGTTCCTGGACGCTACTTCAACTCTGCGCGCCCAGAATGAATGCGCTGTGCACCGTCCGCTGGCCAGCATTGAACTCGGTAATTGACCAAGTGCAGCTCGCCTCTCGTCCAGGTCCTGATGATGCTCGTCAGCACCGTGAGCTGCCACGCAGACAGAGGTATCCTGGACTGTTCATGTCTAGGCGGCTGGACCCGGCCGCTCAACCCTGGACGTTTGCGATCTGCAGGTCATGGGGAATCATATGCGAGTCCGTCCCGTCGCCTGCACACATCTCGAAAAACTGCAAAACAGGAGGAGGTGCGGCGTTGGGGAACCACTCGGTGTCCACTGAAAATGCTTCCTTTTAGCCACTGCCATGCTTGCACGCAGCCATCTTCATGTAACCAAGCCACCCAATTCGCCGACAGTCCGGTAGGCCCGCAATGCCGCCAGGGCATCCATGGCATCTGGGGGACCGATGCTCCATTGCACTTGGTCTTGCTCGCCCACCAAGCCTTATTCTGTTGTGGCTTTGGACTTTGAAAAACCGTCGCCCGCACTGTAAAGAGCTCAACATCCTGACGCGCGAGCTGCCCATCTTCGACACCACGCCCTGGACGACCGAGTGGGACTGAGGGATGCTACAACATGGGCGGAGGTCTCCATCCTCCACAGGCGACCCTCGATGCGTGGGCTTCCGACCCCGTCCAGTATCCTCGTGGTGAGAGCAAAGGCTCGGCAATTGTAATTTCCCTGGGCTTTCTCATCGCATTCGCTTCTGCCGTCGTCGTCGCAAGGCTGGTTGTGCGCCTCAAGTTTCGTCGGAACGCGGGCGTGGACGACGCGCTGATTGCGCTGGCAATTGTACGTACAGTGTGCACGGGTTGAAGTCCTTCTGACATTTGCAGCTTCCAATGGTTGGCTTCGACGCTTCGGTCATTCTAGGTATGTGCTATTAGCGAGGTTTCAATTAAGCAACCGAAGGATGGTGTTGGGCTGCTTGTCCACGGACATCCCTTCGCCGTTGTTATTACGCTTGACTCGCGGACCGTATTGCGCTTTGCTGACTTTTGGTTGGACAGGATGGAATCGCTACGGTGTTGGAAAACACGCGTGGGATATTTCGCCCGCACAAGCCGCTGATGCGCGCCTTATGTACTGGACGGCAACTTTTTGCTATATCCTCAGCACGTCCCTGACTAAAATATCAGCCTTTTGTTTTTACCGGCGGGTTAGCCCTTCCACCTTCTCCGTAATATTCTACTGGGTAATTTGGGCCTCCATTGGCTTCGTCATCTGCTACATGACCGTTTGCGAGGTTATGCTCTTTGTCAACTGCCAACCTGTAAACGCGTTCTGGAAGCAGATGTACCCAGGCTACAACAGCTACCGCTGCTTTGACGAAGCCACCGCCTTCCTTTCAGAAGCCGCGATAAGCGTCGCACAGGACTTTTTGGCGTGCATCCTTCCTATGGTCATCCTCTGGGGTCTAAATTTCTCGGGTCGCCAGCATACTGCTTTGGGAATTATTTTCTTTTTGGGACTATTGTAAGTCGAAAATCATCATAGCACGACAACGCTAACAATGACAGTGTTTGCGCCTGCGGAACTGTGCGTTGCGTCCTCATCTATCAGTACTACCACAAAACCTACGATACGACTTGGGCGCTATACAATTTGTGGATCTGGACCGCTGTTGAAATGCACGTCGGGATGGGTTGCGCGTGCCTCCCATCGCTGAGGCTTTTCTTCACTCGCTTGCTGTCTAGTTCTCCGCCTGCCACAGAGCAAAGCCTGCCGAGTCGGAGTCTCCAGACTCCAGCATACGACATCAGTGGAGGAGAAGGAATTGTTAAGACGTATCCAGACGATGCAAGAAGTTTGAATCCTTTTGCATACCGGCTTCACATTCCTACCCCAACCTTTAGCGACTTTGATCCTGGACCACCGCCGCCAACTCCTCCGCAAACTGTGCAAACCCCGGGCAGACCATCAACACTGGACCCCAAAGTCACTGGGTCCTTTGTCAACCTTGCCGACACGGACAAACCCCCGCGCCCCATGACCCCACCAAGTAGCAAAGGCAGCGAACGGTCAAAAAGTCGAGCAACTAGCAGAGCCACTACGGATCCTTTTACTGGTAACGAAATCACCACGACCCCAACCCCCGATCTCGGTGACTTTGATCCCGGGCCACCGCCTCCTACACCCCCGCCCAAGTCACCTTCCGGGAAGAACACCAAAAGCATGGCTACCGTAGCCAGTCGACCGCAGACCCATCTCACGACAGCGTCCAGCAAGTACGATGATGAGAGCGTCTATCAAACTCCAACGAAACCAGCGTCGGTCGTTTCAGCGACCTCTAGCAGATACGACGAGAGCATCTACACAGATGCAGGCCAGCCGCCTCCGAAACCAATTTCTATCGTCACCAAGACTAGGGCTGGGAGCATATATACAGATGCCAACATTCCACCAAGCGGAGTATCCAGTAAATACACATCCGTAGCTGCTTCAAGCCGATACCCGGAAGACAGCATCTATGTGGACCCGAGGAAGCCTCCACCACACCCAATTACAGTTCCAGGGCCAGAGAGCATGTACGTCGATTCGAAACAGGTGCCGGACACGCCCAGGACCGAAGAATCCAGCCGTTACGATGACGACAGCCTGATGGAGGACCTCTTTGGCCACGACGACATTCAGCAACCACAAGACATGCTCGAAAACGACACAGATACTCCTATTGCTCAAGCCCTCAACGAGCCAGAGCATGTCTACGATCCCACTCCCAGGCAAACCATATTTGGAACCTTACCGGCAAACAGCAAACCCCGCGAGTCAATAGCGAGTGAGTCGCTCGACTCTCGCCGGTCTGCGCAGTTGCCTACTTCAATGACATTCCTGGACCGCGGAAGCTTGATGGAACGAGGTGGCATTCCGCTTTTGCGCGAGTGGCCAAAGAGGACAAGCAGCATGCGCCGCCGAAGCCGTGATGTTCTCAGTTTGATGGAGCGCGGCGCACTCACACAGTCGCAGGCATGGGATGAAAATGAAGCAGAA